ACCAAGCCTTAGAGACTAACAAATTTATTTGGGCATAAGCTTTCCACTTCGTCAGATGCATGGAGTGGAAAATACAGTAGGAAGATAGATAATATATACAGAGAACATGAAAAGATGGTGTTGCCATACCAACTCTAATGAGACTAATCAATTAAGGTGGGCTATTATTAGCAGGAAAAAAAACCTTTGTAGTGATAATCAGGATGGCCCATTTCTAACAGTTGACAAGAAGGTGTGAGTAACAGCAGGGGGGAAATTAGCATGGGGAAATAGTTTTTAGTTTGTGTAATGATCCCCTGTGGAATTAGGCTGCATGGCACACAGGGAGAGTGGCCTTTGCTGCATAAGAGGCAAATTCTGTCCCACTCACTGTACTGATTTTGGGAGGAATCTTTGCACCGAGGTCCTCGGAAAGATTTCTTCTCCAGCCCACCCTCCTGTGTGTTTAATTGTGGGAAGGTAAAGATATGGCCCTGATTTTTTTTTTTTTAATTTTGTGACTGTTATTTTAGAGCATGACTCTCAATAAGTTACCCTAATATGATTTTTTTTTCTATTCAATAACAGCAACTACACACAATAACATCATGTGTTTGGCTGTCTATTTTGGAGAAAGGCCAAGTAGTTTACAGCAATTCATGTACAAAATAATAAAGTAGCAAAAGTCTAAAAGTTGTAGGGAAGATATCTCACTAATGTCTTTAGGACTGATGTCCGCCCTCTAACTCATCCCACAAATTTGCAGTTGTGTTTTTTGGGTATTTTTAAACTTGTAAACAATTCAGTATTTGTCATGAACATTTAATAGATGGTACATGCTCTGACTGTATTGAAGACTCAAGCTAACGTGCATTGTTTGTGCAGAGGGCTGCAGAATCAAAATTCTGATGGCTGTGCAATATCATAAATGTATATGTGCACCATATTCTTATTTAGCTCAAATGACAGCTTCTGACTCCTAAACCCTCTTTCACTGTGGTGCTCAGTGACCATGGTTTGCAGCACTGTGACAACAAAAAAATCCTGTCTGGCCATCCTTTTCTTATAATGATAAACATATTCCAGCTGACTCATTATTTATAAATTATATTGCAGTAGCAACCAATCTCTGCAGTAAGCGAGGGGAAGACTGATCCAAGGATGGGTGCAATAAACAAACAGTGTTTGGCTCTGTAAAAGCACATATGAAGACACAGGATGTGAGTCACTGCCGTAGGGCAAGTATAAGGCCTCTCTGGGGAACAGCCCCCCAGTACTGGAGAACCCTATGCAAAGCATAGAGTGACCTGGTGCCCACCACTATAGGAAGCATTCTGAGGTGGAACAGCGATGTATTGGGTGAGTATGGCTAAGGCAGACCTGCATTCTGGTGATTCTGTATCCGTGCAAAAGCTTACAGGGGCCGCTGAAACAGGGACATACCTTAAGGTGGCCTTCTAGGCTGCCCTAATCTACACGGGGTCCGTGCAGGACTCTGACCATGAAGAGGGTAGGCTTCAGCCACCTCCACTTATTCCCTGTCCTGGTGATGAAGCTGCTCCATGATCCCTACCTGAAGAATTTACAATCTATATATGCATAGGTGCATATATAGTACATATGACATGGGGGGGGAGGGGGAAAACTATGTTAGAAGAACAACTGGGTTGCAAAGTAAAGAAATCAAAAGATGCCTGTGCAACCTGAATTCAGCCTTCGTGTGCATCTGCATTATGATAGTCTTTATAAATGTGAATTATATGTATAATTGTGTATTTAGTCAATATTTCTTTTTACACTCCTCATTCAGTAAGCCTCAGGAATTATTGAATGCACGCCATCCTAACCCTGCACTTAATACCAAATTATCAATTTCCTCCTAGGCATTTCTATAGTGCTCTCACAATGGTAGTATCCAGGTGCTTACAGACATTAATGAATTTCTCTTCACAATACTACCATGAGATTACATGGTGGTATTATCCCCATTTTACAGCTGGGGAACTGTAGCACAGAGAAATTAAAGCCAAAATTGTCAAATGTCCACTAATTTTGGGTGTACAATATGAGACACCTAGGACCACATTTTTCAGATACTTAGCCTTTTTAGACAACTTTACAAGTTTCCAAGACACTCTCGTGTCTGCTTAGTCTCTATCTGTGTGAAGTGAGATTTTTTTCCGGAGGCTCACAATGTGGGTCTTACAATGGAACGTGTCGGGAAACTTTAGCCATACAGGCGGTGTGACCAGCTCTGCCATTGACTGAAAATGGTTTTTAATTGTACAGCTTGTCAGTAAGCTCAATAAAAAGAATAATTCTACTGAGCATGCATAATGGCTAATTTTCATGCCATCACAATAGCTCATACATTAAAACAGATAACTGCCTATCTACAGGGTCTACTGTGTTACGAAATGCCTGCAAAATTAAATTTTAGAAGTCAACGCTGGTTGTAGGATTCTTTAAAAATTCCACTTACATTTGTATCTTGCAACCTACTATCTGCTATTCCAAGTGTATTTTTTATATTAAAACTATAAGTTTTGCTGCAAGGGTAAGTTTCAGCCCAGTGGCTTCAACTGGGTTCCATTGAGGCACAGAGTTTCATAAGAATGACCACTCTGGGTAAGACCAATGGTCCATCTGGTCCAGCATTAGTGGCCGGTGCCAGATGCTTCAGAGGAAATGAACAGAACAGGACAATTTATCAAGTGTTGTTCAGACCCACCTTCTGGCAGTCATAGGTTTAGTGACACCCAGTGCATCAAATTGCATCCCTGATATCTTGGCTAATAGCCATTGATGGACCTATCCTCCATGAACTTATCTAGTTCTTTTTTGAACTCGTATATACTTCTGGCCTTGACAACATCTCTTGGCAATGAGTTCCACAGGTTGACTGTGTGTTGTATGAAGTACTTTCGTTTGTTTGTTTTTAAACCTACTGGCCTATTAATTTCATTGGGAGACCCCGATACTTGTTATGTGTGAAAGGGTAAGTAACACTTCCTTATTCACTTTCTCCACACCATTCCTGAGTTTATAGACCTCTATGTATACCCCCTTAGTGATCTCTTTTTTTTTAAGATGAACAGTCGCAGACTTTTTCATCTCTCCTCATATGGAGGCTGTTCCACTCCTGTAATCATTTTTGTTTCCTTTCTCTGTACTTTCTCCTATTCTAATATCTTTTTGGAGATTGGTGCCCAGAACTGCACACAGTATTCAGGGTGTGAGTGTACCATGGATTTATGTAGTGACATTATGATATATTCTGTCGTATTATCTATCCCTTTCCTAATGGTTCTTAACATTCTGTTAGCTGTTGTGACTGCTGCTGCACATTATGCAGAACTTTTCAGAGAACAACTCACAATGACTCCAAGATCTTTCTTGAGTGGTAACAGCTAATTTAGACCCCGTCATTTGGATTATGTTTTCTATGTGCATTGCTTTGCATTTATCAACACTGAATTTCATCTGCCATTTTCTTGCACAGTCACCCAGATTCCTTTTAACTCTTAGTTAAGTTCAAAGCTGACTGCAATCTTGAGTAATTTTATATCATCTGCAAACTTTATCACCTCACTTTTTACCCATTTTTCCAGGTCATTTATGATATTCAGATTCAGTAGCAGACTCAGAACCCAAAAGTAATACCTTCACAGTTAACTATAATTTAATGTTATTATTATTATTACTGTACATTTCTAGGGGAGACTATTCTCCCCTCTAATCCTTATTTCTATTCCTTTAACTTCCTCAAGTACTGACATTTTCACCATCCCTCAACTGACAGTGCCACTACCAATCTGAAGCCATACACATTTAAAAAGCCTATAAAGCTACTCAGGTTAATTCTAATTAAAAGAAATCATAATAATGAGCATAACAATGTCTTGTGACAGTGCGCTTACAATCAACTCCATCATGCCCCCTCATTGCTGGACAGGTTTCCCAGTGGTGGGTTGTATTGGCCAGAAGCACTTTAAGAAATGATGTACAAAATGACTATCTTTTAACAAAGAAATAGTATGGGGGAAAAACAAAACAAAACTAGTTTCAAACTACAAGAAGTTAATGGGATATCCCTGTAGTTTAAAAGTAAATGTATACAGTATTGTACATATAATTATTCCTATATAATGCATTTATTATGTAGTTTTTTAATTGGTATTTATAGTCTATGCTGCTTTCTCTATTATTGATGTTTTTATATAGTAACTGTTTGCACAGTTCTCTAAGCATATTAGTGGCAAAGGGATCAAAAAGATACTGAAGAAATAATTGTCAATAATTTTTACTATTTAATGCTTTATTTGCTTCTTTTGTTACCTCTCTTTTGTTTTCATTAAAATGCTGTAGTTACATTTTAATTCTACAACTTCTTAGGATTGAAGGGTGCCTCATAAACAAAATTATTAGCATTCTTTAGTGTTTTATTTGATTTTTACATTTCCTCCTTTGTTCTCTCCCTTTTCTTGTTAAATTTAAGCTGTTTAGGTGTGCAACACCCCAACTCACCTTGTCACTGAACACCCAGGAAGTGAGGGGTTTATAAACTAAGTGAGATCATTTAGTATTTTATTTGGTTGCCATTTTACAGTTTTTTCTGTATTGATGTCATTTTAATTGATGTTGCTAGGAAATGTTTATATTTTTGCAAGGCTGTGCCCTAGAACATATATCAGCAGGTGGGAGATGGCCACTTCAAGAACAAAATTATGAGTCATTTACTATTTAATTTCAGGGTTTTTTTCTATTGCTTTATTCCAATGTGATTGTTATTCATTATAACAGTGCAGCATCCCAACTTCATCAGGGGATGACGGAAGGCACATCAGAAACTAAATATTAATGGTTATTTAATAATTTAATGGGGAGAGGGGGTATTTTATGCCATTTTAATCACTTTACCTGCTTAAACTGTTGCTTTCCTCCTGTAGTTGGCAACTGCAGGAATAGGATGCGAAGGGAAGGATTGAAAGCTAATGGTAATAATGAATAGTAATACTCACCAGTGACACGGATGGATTCAAGCATCATTCCTCTTGCAGTGTCTGTCTGTCTGTCCTGCCCTAACACCCTAAATATGCCCCCTCTGCATGGAGAGCTGTGAGACACAGGCAAGGAGCAGCGTGGAGATAGTATCTTCCTTTTGTTTATCCACAGGCTGGTGAAAGGGTGAGGCAGGAGAGGGCTGAGGTGGCTGCAGCAGTGGGGAGGGCTATGTGCAGCCTGTCCCCCACCCACACCTAGCAGCGGCTGCTACCTCCCCTACTCCCTGCTTCAGGGACAGCAGGAAAAGGGCTGGCTAGGCTCTGTTGCCAGGACACCCGCCAGCCTTCCATGGCACGGCACAGCCCTGGGGCCAAAAGAACGGAACAACAAAACGCAGCACCCGCGCAAAGAGGGAGACAATGCGGTTTTCCGGATGGAGACTACAAGTCCCGGCATGCAGTGCGCCACAACGATTCCCAGCAGTCCTCTGCGCAGCCGGGAGCAAGGTGAAGCATTGCATCCTGGGATTTGTAGTCTGGGAGGGAGGTTAAGCAGCGTTGCCAACCCCAGACATGCCAAACTCATGCGGCAGTGCTTTGTATGCCATAGCCGACGTGGAGATCTGCACAGTGGACTGTGGCTGACACCTCCCCATGCCATTTCAAGTGGGCAGAGTTGGGCCCTACTTTTATTTTTCCAGTTTGATCTCTTGTGATTTTACTCTAGTTGATGTAAATGCAAATACTGGACCAAATTCAGCAATGAAATAAATTATAGTGTAAGTTACACCTTGGGTATAATGTAGAAAAATTGATATAACTGCCCCAGTAACGTGACTTGTGCCAATTTAACATTAGTGCATGTGCAAACTGAGTGTGACGTATACCACTATGAAATCTCTGGGGCCCAAATCGAATCTTAGTGTAAGCAGTGTCAACTCTCACTGAAGTTATTGCAAGTTATATCCACTTACACTAGGGCTGCATTTGGCATCTGAGAGTTTGGATGATGCTGTGGATGCAATTCAAAGCAGGGAGGCTGTTGTATGTTAGAGCAGCCTGTTTGCGTTTCTTTTTATGACACCCATTCCCGTCCCTTGACATGTAAGTTACATAAATTTTAAATACCCACTAAATGTCAAATAGCAGCTAGTTACGCTGCCTTGACACATGTATGTTAGTTGTTCAAACAAATCTATTTGTTCTAGGAGGTCTTTTTCTTTCAGACTTCAGAATATTACAGAGATAAATATTTTTGAATCAGACTCTGTTGGAATACACTCTGTACAGTCATACATTTTGTTTTTCTAAATGGTCAGCACTTTGACACTTTCAGTCACTGTTTTCCAATTATGTACAATATCCAGCATTTGAATTAACCATTTAAAAAAATATACAACATACTGTATATGGACTCTTTTCTTAAATCGTAATAATACAAAATCATGACATCTGATTGTATTACGATGTAACAGAAAATGAATGTCCAAACCCCAACTCTACAGAAGTTAAAAATTTAATTGAG